CGGAAGCTGAGCTTTAGGGAAAGCATAGAGCTTCGGTAGGCAGGAAGGGAGACACAACAGGCACACTCTGAGTGGCACACAAGACACGTGGCTGACATGAAACTCCAGCTGGGGACACCGGCCTTTATTCTGTGGACAACAGAGAGCCACAGACTATTTCTCATCAGAGGAGTAGCATGACAATAAGCATATTTTAGAAAAGTAGGATGTTGAAAACGATGAAGTTACTGGAAAGTGGGGAAATGAACACTAATGGAACGCCTGTTATCTGCTAGATGTTTCTTACATCTTCTCTCATTTCTCCTGCACAACAACCCTACAGGGTAGGCAGCAACGTCTCGATTTCACAGAGGAGAAGACGCAGGCTCAGAGGTTGGCAGCTGAACGGTGGGACAGAGATTTCCAGCAAAGGCTCGATGGCTCCCCAACCACTGCCGTCACAACAAGGACACGGATGGAGCTTAGAGAACAGAAACAGATGAATGGGCCATGATGAATATTGCAGAGGAGGTACTGGCAGGTGTTGACGGTTGATGGAAAGGCGAGGGTGAACTGGGAAAGTGGAACACGACTTGAGTGACAGATTGGTCTTTCAGGGAATGAGGAAGCTCGTTTTGCTGGGGAAAGCACAGGCGCTGGCACTGACTGGGTGCCCACAGTGGACCAGGTATTTAGCAATGTCCAAGAAACACACAGTACACGCGTAACATAGGTAGAGAAAGGACAAGTCCAGTTCAAGTCAAGTTTGAGATTCCAGAAGGGTGGAGCTACCTGAAAAACAACGAAAATCACAAGTCTGGAGGTCTGGAAAGAATGTTCACACACACGTACCAGGTGTCTATGCAGAGACAATTATCACTGCGAGGGTGGGTGCTGCTGACAAGGGGACTTGTTTATAGGGAAAAAGAAAACATTCGACAGCCCAACATTGACAGGAACAGCAAAGGGCAACCCAGAGAAAGCACAGAGAAAAGGAAAAGTCCTGAGTATGTTGTCACCAAGGACAGCACAGGAGCATGTCAGGACAGAGGAGACAGGTGAACCTCAGGGAGGTCAGGAGGGGGGTGACAGGTCAGGTGACAGGGACAAGACAGGAGCATGTCAGGACAGAGGAGACAGGTGAACCTCATGGAGGTCAGGAAGAGGGGGTGACAGGTACAAGACAGGAAAATGTCAGGACAGAGGGAGACAGGTGACCTGATGGAGGTCAGGAAGGGGGGGGTCCAAGGTCAGGTGACAGGGAGGACACATTGGGCTTAATAGTTAAGGCACCCACCATCCCTATCAGAGCTCCTGAGTTTGATTCCTGGTTTTGGCTCCAGTCTCTAACGCAGACCCTGGGAGGCAGAGTGAGGCTCTGGTGATGGGGTTCCTGCCACCCACACGGGAGGCCTGGACTGAGTTCCCATCTCCTCACTCCAGCTTGGGCCCAGCTCCGGCTGTTGCAGGCCTCTGAAGAGTGGACCAAGAGATGGGAGATCTGTCTTTCTACTTCTGTCTACCTCCCTCTCTCTCTCTGCTTCCAAGTAAAATGATACATTTTCAAAGATCAAGTCCCTTTCGTGGAAGGTCAGGGGACAGGAGAATCAGCCAGCAGTGAGCAGGTCTCCACGAGGCCAGTTTCCTCTGAATGGCAGGCAGTGAGCAGATTCCAACAGGCAGAGAGTGGCGGCACCACGGCTGTAAGATAGGACGATTCCCCTTCCCCACGATACGCCTTTGTGTCAGAACACGTCAAAATGTAAGACCTCCAAAGACACCACGATCCCTTCTCTCCAAGGGGTGTTCCATGAACACAGTCGGTTTTCTCCTTTCTGACACAGGGACGCCACCCGGCAGAGAAGGTGGGAGGAGCCTGCAGACTTGGGATTAGGGCGCTGTCATTTACTCAACTGCACGACTCTAAGCTTGTTTCATGGCTCTTTGGATCTAGCTGGTTGTCTACAAAACTAGGGTGTCCATGCCGGCCTTAGAGGGCTGCTTGGGAACTGACAGGAAATGACCCCGCTCAGAGCCTGCCATCGGCCCGTGCAGCCGCTCTGCCTACCTTCTCCTCCCTCTGCCCCCCACCCTGGGGGCTGGAAGGTCACATGAGACCCCACCTCCCTTTCAACCTCTGGGAACTGTGAGGTGTTGCCCAGATCGTAAATGATTCCCTTTCCATTCTTTTTGGGAGACCAGCATTTTCCTTTTCCAAAGAATGTTGGGTGGGTAGACTGATAAAGTCCTCCTTGCTGTTGAAAATACACAGAACTCTTTTTCATATTTTGCATTTAAATGCATCAGTCATGGAAAGAAAAACAGCTACTTTATCACATGAACTGGTCTAGGTGTTTGCTTCCTCTTTAGAGAGACGACGGGCAAGTTCAAGGCAGGGATGGAGCACAAAGCACCCAGGACACACAATGGCCATCCACTGAATGACCACAAGCACTGGGCAGGTTCAATTGGCTCATTAAAGTGAGCGTGGCCCTACGTCTTCCATAAGCACATCTTGAACACTGTACTGACAGATAGGGTGAGCGCATGTTCCAAACCCCGAGTCAAGACACAGGACCGGGCCGGCGCCGTGGCTTACTAGGCTAATCCTCCGCCTAGCGGTGCCGGCACACCGGGTTCTAGTCCCGGTCGGGGCACTGGATTCTGTCCTGGTTGCCCCTCTTCCAGGCCAGCTCTATGTTGTGGCCCGGGAGTGCAGTGGAGGATGGCCCAAGTGCTTGGGCCCTGCACCCCATGGGAGACCAGGAGAAGCACCTGGCTCCTGCCTTCGGATAGGCACGGTGCACCGGCCGCAGCGTGCCGGCCACGGAGGCCATTGGAAGGTGAACCAATGGCAAAAAGGAAGACCTTTCTCTGTCTCTCTCTCTCTCTCTCTCTCTCTCTCTCTCTGTCCACTCTGCCTGTAAAAAAAAAAAAAAAAAAAAAAAGACACAGGACCCTGTAAGGCAGGATCTCTGCATGGAGAGCAGGTTTGGGAGCAGGATTCTTAGGAAGGCACAGCAGCACTGCACAGGGCCTTGTCCTCCAGTCATCTCCCAGACGTGGCGATGAGACGCAAGTCAGCACGTACTCGCCCCAGGGGCCCAGCTTCTGGTAGGATGACGTGGCGTGTCCTCCCGAATAGGCTCACTGTACACCTCCAGGGCCACGCTCACGAACCCTCTCCACAGATGCCCTGAACCCCATCTCCAGAGCCACGCTGCTCCAGGCCTTGGAGGGCCCTGTGCAGGGTCACACTTCTAGGTTTCCCCCATTTCACCCACAGCGGGGTACAGAGGCGCTGCCGTGGGCCCAAGGTGGGCCTGGCTGTGCACGGCAGCAGCTGTCTCTCCCAGGCCCTGCTCTCCAGCTCCCTCACATGGGCCAGTTCTCCAGATCTCTGGCACCCACAGGGAGCTGGCCCCCCACTCGTGTTTGCGTACTCCAATGTGCCTGCTAACAATGCGCTCTCGGCCTATTGCAGGGGGCCCTTATGTCTGACCTGTTCTGATCTGCCCTGGTCTATCTTAACTTTGAGGCCCCAAAGAGGCAGCACATCTCAGTTGTTCAAGTAGTAGGGGTGACAAGGGGACTCGAGAGGGTAGAGACGCCCTCCTCCCAGGCCACTCTGGGTCTGGTGGTATTTGACCACTCCCCAAATGATCTTAACCCATCCACTCTCAGCTTGCTCACCATCATCACCTCCTGCTGCCAGGGGACAGGAGAGAGGGAGTCTCTCCGCACTCACACCTGCTCCTCCCCGTCTTGCATCTGGGAGCAGCTTTTCTACCAACGAGGGGGGTTGGTTCTCTCCATTTGCTTCAGAAACCAGCATTCTTCTTTGCTTTGTGACTTAAGGTCCAGGGCCTGCCTGGCCAGTTCTCTCTCTCTGAAGCTTGGAAGTCTGTCAGCATAACCTAGCAGGGCCATGGGGAGGGAGGCTTTTGAAGTTGTCTCAGAAATTACCTAAGTTGCCATGGTGATCAAGCACTGTAGAGTCACCACCACCTTCTATTTCCACTGAAAGGCATGGTGGAGGAACGAGTTCTTTCTCAACCATCACCCAGCCATGGAGGCAGTCTCACAGCCACCCTGCTCTTGGCCCCTTCCACCTGCCCTTCCCCCACACCGCCCCGGCTTGTGGACAGCCCGCAGTATGGAAGCATCGCACAGATCCTGAACCAGCAGTGGGGCGGTCCGTTCTACCCGAGGGAAGACAGGGTCTGTGGGTGCTGAGAAGAGGAGACCTAAGGCTGGACCAGATTCACTCAACAATTCAGACAAGTCTGCACTGGAGAAGGCAGGACGGCTGGGACAGCCGTAAGGAAACCACGTGTCCTACATGAGAAGGGAGGGCAAAGTTGTCCTCAGCCTGGACCCTGAATCCTATTTTTTATTTTATTTTATTTATTTATTTTTTTTTTATTTTGACAGGCAGAGTGGACAGTGAGAGAGAGAGACAGAGAGAAAGGTCTTCCTTTTGCCGTTGGTTCACCCTCCATTGGCCGCCGCGGCCGGCGCGCTGCGGCCGGCACAGCGCGCTGATCCGATGGCAGGAGCCAGGAGCCAGGTGCTTTTCCTGGTCTCCCATGGGGTGCAGGGCCCAAGCACCTGGGCCATCCTCCACTGCACTCCCTGGCCACAGCAGAGGGCTGGCCTGGAAGAGGGGCAACCGGGACAGAATCCGGCGCCCCGACCGGGACTAGAACCCGGTGTGCTGGCGCCGCTAGGCGGAGGATTAGCCTAGTGAGCCGCGGCGCCGGCCTGGACCCTGAATCCTAAACTAGGCCTCACCATCTGCATGAACACGACTTCCCTGAATCCTAAACTAGGCCTCACCGTCTGCATGGACACGACTTCCCTGAATCCTAAACTAGGCCTCACCGTCTGCATGGACATGACTTCCCTGAATCCTAAACTAGGCCTCACCGTCTGCATGGACACGACGGTTCCACCAACAGACAGCGTGCTAAACTAGGCCTCACCGTCTGCATGGACACGACTTCGCTGTTCTGCTGTCTGCGTGCCCTCGACGTTTGGGTGTTCACTACAGGTGCACCGATGGTTCCACCAACAGACAGCGTGCCCTCGACGTTTGGGTGTTCACTACAGGTGCACCGATGGTTCCACCAACAGACAGTGGGCCCTCGACATTTGCGTGTTCACTACAGGTGCACCGATGGTTCCACCAACAGACAGTGTGCCCTCGACATTTGGGTGTTCACTACAGGTGCACCGATGGTTCCACCAACAGACAGTGGGCCCTCGACATTTGCGTGTTCACTACAGGTGCACCGATGGTTCCACCAACAGACAGTGTGCCCTCGACATTTGGGTGTTCACTACAGGTGCACCAATGGTTCCACCAACAGACAGCGTGCCCTCAACGTTTGGGTATTCACTACAGGTGCACCGATGGTTCCACCAACAGACAGCGTGCCCTCGACATTTGGGTGTTCACTACAGGTGCACTGATGGTTCCACCAACAGACAGCGTGCCCTCCAAGTTTGAGTGTTCACTACATGTACACTGATTGTTGTACCAACAGACAGCATGCCCTCAGAGTCTTCCAATCCCCTGCCTCAAAAAATCCTCACTTTGCCTTGCTCCAATTCTGGCTGTCACTGGAGTTCTCACCCAATTGTATGCCATTATTTTTACCCAACAGTAATCAAATACCCATGTGGAAACAGTGGTCTTAAACAAAACTCCCATCCTCAGTCAATTCTGGTCCTACTCCCTTCCTCTGAGACCCTGCTAAGGCTTTGCAAGACAGCGTTCTCCCATACCACAGTGAGCAATTGGCTCCGCCTTGTCTTCTTGCGGGTTGTGTCTGCAGCATCTGGGTAGTCCACTCTACACTGGGCAGGTGCGTCTGGGAGAGTACCCATCATCACAGACAAGTATAGAGCACAGTGACCCTGAAGCTGGTTATTTAAAAAACAAGTATCCCCGTAGTTGAAAGAGTACCATCGAAACAGTTGTGGAGAACAATGCCATAAACGACAGCAGACTCGGCCTGAGTTGGGGAGGGGAGCCGCAACCAGAGCAGGGGAGAGATCCTGTTTTCAAGATCTGCACGAGTCATCCCGCAGCACAAGGCTGCCGGGCCCTGGGTCAGGGCTGCCGTGTGGGATCATGCGGGAAGCAGAGCTGCCTCATGGGCTGGGGTCCGGCCAGGCGCCAGCTTGCTTTAATGCTCTGCCGTTGCCATCTTGCGATTCTTAGGACTGTTTGACAAGGAATCCTGAGTTTTCATTTTGCAATTAATTACGCAGCTGGCCCTGGTTGGAGGGGAGGGATGCCCCTGGGTGTGTGGCACTGTAATACCTCAGGGGACACGTGACAGCCCCCAACCCCGGGCATGGACACAGGACCCCACTCCCTGGGCGTGGCAGCCTGTAGAAGCTCCAGCTGTAGGTACTCCGGAAGGTGGCCAGATGCAAGCCTCCCCAAATCAACGATTGCTCAGGGAAGAACCGAAATCGACCGGGACTGATGCCCCTGACCACTGCCTCTGAGGCCCTTCACGATCTGCCCACCTTTTGGTGTCAGCCGCATCTCACTCTGCTCCCACCACCACTTGTGTAGACCCAGCAGACGCCTCCCCCCAGGTCCCCGTGCCCGCTGCTCCTTGTGCACGGCATGAGCCTGCCCTGGGCTCGTGTGGCCGACCACCTGCCTAGAGGCAGACTACCGCCCTACCTAGAACGTCCCCACCACTGAGGGGCCTTCCTTGCTTCCCGTCATCTACAATGACGCCCCCATCACCCTCTCTTTCCCGGTTCATTTTTCTCCATAGTTCTTGTCACCCAACACGTGCTACATAGTTACGGTGCTTGCTCTTCATCTCTCTGTCAAACTGAATGTAAGTTTCAAGAGGACTTCAGTCCTCACGTGTCCCAAGTGCTTCCACAGTGTCGGACACACAGCAACCAGCATTTATTGAGTGAATGAATGAATGAAGTGAGTGAGTGAATGAGTAGTGACTGCCCAGGGATGTTATTCGTCTGAGCACCTCGTCTGTCTCATCCCCATGAGTGTATCTTGTTTATGCGCTGTTGCCACTGATGTCGGAGGCTCCTGAGAGCAGAGTGACATTGAAAGTGGTGATTAAGCAAAGAAATATCTCAGTAGCTAAATTAATAACATCTAAAAATTTACAGAGAACAATGCCAGGCGTTATCGTGAGCGCTCACAGTTCTGCTTGAACTGGGTCCTATTTTTAGCTCCCTAATTGATGGGAGAATTGAAGCAAGGCATGAGAGGCAGGAAGCAGCTCTCCCAATGTCACATGGCTAGTCCACGGCTCCCCGGGCCTGGGCTGGTTCTCCAGGATATGACCAGAATCCCCTCCTGGAGCCGGGTGACTCAGCCCCAGAACAAGGAGAGCCACTGGCCAGGAGGCAGGGGACAGAAGGCAGCTCTGGGGCAAGTGCTCACAGGGACATCCAAGAGACGGAGGAGCCCCGCCCACAGAGGCTGTCCTGCACGCCTTCACCAACCACACTCTTGTCATCTCCTTCCAGGGTCTGCTGTGTCATAGCGTTTCCATCTGGGAGTTCAACGGCAAAGCACCCCCCACTCACGGAATATGACGCTGTCACCTTGTTGAACATCGGAAGGTCAGGTCGGGGGCTTTCTGCTATGGGTTTTCAGGGCCACGGCTGCTTTCTGGCATCTCTGGGCCCACGTCTCTAACAAGGCCAGATCTGTTTGGGTGGTGGGTCTCCTTTAGGTCTATTCTAACTTCATGCTGAAAATGAAACCCTCTTGCTGCCTGGGCTACTGGACTGCTGGACCCTGACCCTCACTGGCCACTAGGTGAGCCTGGGTGTTGTTTCCCAATCCTTCTGACAATGTGTCAACTTCCCTAAATGTCTTTTACGACATCATCCATCCCTCCAGGATTTGTTTCATAAAATGCTAATAAACAGTCATATATGCACCTTCCAAGGGGCAACACACACTCCAGGGCATAAAGTCGTTTGTGAATCTCCGCTCAGGACTCCCCGAAAGAAAGACTGTAAGACAAAAGGTCAGGAGTGTAGTTACGATGTTTTAGTGAAATCCCACATAGAAACACAGCAGATTAGCAGGTCATCCGATTGTTTCTGCGCCAGAGTTGCCCATGGTTGGCCATGATAGACTATCAACATGTCTCCGCCCGTTAGAAGGGGCATCACCTAGAGTATACGAGCAATAGTAGCTGCCATGGTTTACTGAAGGCTTGCTGTAAACTTTGCATCATGCAGACTCTGGCTTACTGGACTCATCCTCCCTCCCCCAGAACACCTATAGTATGTGGCCCTTTGACCCATGTCTCCCTGTCTGACCCATAAGTCATGACCTTGAGTAATCAAATTTAGGGCATAGGGCCTCCTGGCCTTATAGAAACACAGCCGTAGCCATGTTTCTAAGTAGGGCAGGAGCTGAAGTAACAGTGGGGTTGAGGCTGGACAGGGAGGGTTGATGAGGAAAGCTGTGCACTGGTTTACATTGTAGGAGTCCCTAGAAGCATGTCCAGCAAAGACACCTATTGTCTTGTACGTTTCGCTTTACACTCAGGGGTTTCCAGGTTGGTAGGCCTTTATCAGGGGGTTTGTCTACCAGGAGAGGGTGTCTGGAGCTCATCCGACAGCTGTGCTGTCTTGGGGAGCTTGGTGGAGTGAGTTCAGATGCCAAGCATTTGACATCATTGGTTTGCAAGTTACTGCCATCGCTCAAACGTAAGAGCCTGGGCGGCTCTGGGGCGTTCTCTTCATTCTCCGCACTGACTGGGGAGGCACAGAGGCCACGTGACCACAGGTGGTAGAAAAAGGAACTCGGACGGTTTCCTTGCTCATCACACCCATGCCCTCAGTCTGTCACCACCTCTTTTCTGTGGCCCTCTGTGCTCTGGGGAGGGAGGGCAGCAGAGAGAACGGCGGCGCTGACAGCTCCTCAGCATCCTGGACCCACACCTTGGCAGTGCGGGCAGCAGCGAGTGGCCAGGGTGCCGAGAGCAAGGCAGCAGGACGCACCGCACGGACCCAGGCGTGGGTCTCGGGCCGAGCGCCAGCCCCATCATCACCACCTACTATGTGGGCGAACTAGCACAGCTGACATGACCACTGGGACCGGGAGCACAGGGGAGGCCAGCGGATGGTGTCTGAAGTCCATGCCATGTCTGATTCTCTGTGGGTCCAGCTGAGGACAGAAAGCGCTTCGTTCATTCCTATACAACGCCTACCCTACTCCTAAAGCAGGGACTGGGGTTTTCTCTTAGAAGCAGAAAGAACTCAGGTGTTCAAATAAAGGTATTAAAGGGATAAGGAATCCCACAGAAGGGGGGATGATCAGAACAGGGACGGAAAACAAGTTCGGACACTTTCTAGAATAATCAGCGCTCCGTCAAGGCAAAAACAAACCCTCTGGTGCACGCGATTCGCTCTTCAGTGTGTGCAGTGCAGGCCCCATCCCCGACTCCGTAATAAACTAGTGAAAGCAGACAGGTTCTGGAGCTCACAGATCTTGCATCTCCGCGCAGCGCTCACTAGACAATCAGCAGACACCAAATGTTAGGAACACGGGAGATACTACCCGGATCCTGGTTTCTGCTACCATTCTCCAACAGCAACAAACAGGGCTCCTTGGAGAAGTGGCTGCTCCCAGGACTGAGGCCGAAAACGCATTAAGATGAGCCTGCAGCACCAGGCAGTCCCCAAACCAAGCTTCGAATGAACGAACAGAAGAGGGAACGGAACCCCTGCACTGATGGGGGTTTGCCACAGGGCACGGAGCCAGCTCAAAGAACTCCCAAGGACCAAAGCTGAAAAAAGAGAAGCCAGAGAATAAAGCAGTATTGGATTTAATGCAAAATAAATATGCCCACGTCTACACTGACATAAATAAGCTACTGAACAAAATAATGAATGGGAGAGAAAAGAGAAATCTCCCATGTAGACTAATTCCAAACCAGTCTTGCAGATACTCACTCCATCCTGGTCTCAAGCAAGGGCTGCCCGTGGTGCCTTCCCCACAAAGAGTACAGTGTGGAAATGGGAAAATGTGACAAACACGGCTTCCCACCAGAGGGCCAGGTCAGCATCCACACTCATAAATCACGATGAAATGATATGACAGAATGGCACCTGACCTCTGTGAGCTCCCTCCCAAACCCATAACCCAATCTAATCACCAGAAAACACCAGACAAGTTCCAACAGAGTGGCCTCCAATATGCCTGCCCAGAACTGTGTAAAACTGCCAAGGTCATCAGAAACAAGGCACGCTTGAGAAACTGACACAGCCCACAGGAGCCCAGGAAGAGAACTGAATGCAATGTGGTCCCCTGGATGGGATCCTAGAACAGGTAAAAAGTAGGTGACTTGGGGCTGACAACATGGCCTAGCGGGTAAAGCTGCTACCTGCATTACCAGCATCCCTTATCGGCACAAGTTTGAGTCCCGGCTGCTCCACTTCCCATCCAGCTCCCTGCTAACGCACCTGGGAAGGCAATGGAACATGGTCCAAGCACTGCACCCATGTGGGAGACCTGGAGGTGGCTCCTGGGTCAACCTGGCCACCTGGCCAGCCTTGGTTATTACAGATGACCAAGATGGATGGAAGATCCTCTACTTCCCTCTCTCTGTAACTCCACCTTTTAAATAAATAAATAAATCTTAAAAAAAAACCAGAGGACTCTGACACTATAGACTGTAATTCATAATAAGGTATCGTAATAAGAAAAACTGTGCGCTGGCTCAGAGGATAATGTGGGGATCCTCCTTACTATCAGCTTTTCTGGTCATTGAAAACTGTTCTCAGAAATAGCATCGAGAGAGAGAGAGAGAGAGAGAGAGAGACAGAGGTCAAATGCTCTCCCCCTTGCCAGCCTTGGCTAAGCTGGCTTCCACGAATTCTACACCTGCCAGGAAGTGGATTCTGCCGACAACATTGGGATCCTGGAAGAGGATCTCAGCCCTCGGGTGAGGCCAGGCCCAGGCTGACACTTTGCAGGTTGGTGAGGCCTTCAACAGAAAACCCAGTTAAGCTGTATCTGGGATTCTGATCCAAGGAATCTGTGAGACAGTAAATGAGCTTTGGTTTAAGCTGCTAAAACATCAACCAATATACAACAGCAACCAACATCTCTCAGAGCAGTGAACGCACTTCGGTGGCCTCACTCAATGGGGTGGGAAGGAAGCTCCTTTGGGAGTTGGGGGGTGGGAGGAGCCAGCCTTGGGACGTTTCAGGGAAAGCTCTAGGGCCTGGAAGGGAAACCGCGTGTGTCGCAGGACAGGAGGGCCGGCGTAGGGGAGGGAGAGAAGTGAGCGAGCGGAGTACGCGGGGCTTCTGAAGGGTCTGGGGTTTGGCTTTTGTTGGAAGTCCATCTGAGAGCCAGCGAGTGCCACCCATGAGTCCCAGCTTTTAAAAATCGCGCATCTGTTCTGTGAAGGGTGAAGTCGGGCCAGCCAGGGGCGGCTCCAGTGTGAGCCTGGAGGGAAGACAGTGGAGCCGTGGCCTTGAGTGTGACTGCGATGATAGGTGTCTTCGTCTCTCGAGGGTGGGAGCACATGCGAGAGGGATCCTGACGGGCGGGCCTGCGCTCTTCTTGGAGATCCATGCCCACACCGTGGCTCCGAGGCGCGTCCCTAGAGGACCACAGCGGTCATAGCAGCCGCGGGCTCCCTCTCCATGCAGTCTTTCCTGTGTGTCATCTGGTTCCTGAGCTTCTGAACACCAATGATGGCTCACCAAGGCAGTTGCTGGCACCCACATGGTGCCGTGCCAGCCTGGGCCAGATCCTCCCCGGGAGGCCTTGCCAAAAGGGCAGCTGGATCTCACCTGCCACCCTCAGCTTCCTGGCCGACAAAGCTGCCCTGCTTAATGGAGCGCCTCCTCTGTGTGGAGTGTTCATTCCACCATTTGCTGTCAGCTCCCTCACGGGGTGCAGGACGCCCTCTCTTTAACCTGGAAATGGTGGAAGCTGGAACAGGGTGAGCGTGTGCAGGCCACCTCTCCTCCTATGGGGACAGAGAGGGGAGAGTGGAACTCTCCCGTGTTTATTTCGGCCCCAGTGGCTTCATCTGAAGCCACCTGCAGCTCCGTCTTCAGACTCTTGACTGCAAACATGCCCCCCTCACCCCCGCTGCCCGCCCAGCCTGCCCAGGCCCGGCCCGCTCCGGACGATGCTGCTGGTACTCCCCACTGGCTCGTCCCGTGTGCAGCTGTGACCTGTGTGGGCCCAGCTGCAGACCCCTGAGGTCCCCAGCCTGGGTGACGACAAGGCAGTGAGGCCTTTGGGTGCCACCTTGCAGGAAATAGCTGGGGTTCCAGTGAGTGACGGCTTTGCTGTGTCTAGGAAGTGGCTCTCGGGTGGCCGACCCCAGGAGCCTGATCCCAAGACAGCAGGGACCAGTGAGGCTGTGGGAGGGTGGTGTTGAGAAGTCTCTTTGACACAGGGGGTCTGGGTTGGCACCTCAACCCTCTGCTGAGCAGGGCCAGGGAAGGACAGCTCCCTTCCTAGCTCCTAACTGAACCAAGCTCACGGGTCTGCCTGGGCTCCCGCACTCCCGAGGCTGTGTCCGGCCCAGGTGAAAGGACTCTAACTGGAACATGAAGGGTGTGCTCTCGCAGCCCCAAGCTTCGTCTTCCAAAAAAGCCCCGCAGGCCAGCAATCAGCAAGGAGTTCCGCTGCCTCCAGCCCCTTCTGCTGGGGCCTGGCTGCGGGAACCACCAGGTACGCGGACCCCTCTTCCTGCCCAGCCCCCTGCAGGACACAGCTTTAGCCAGGAACACAGGGCACAGAGCTCCCAGCGGGAGGGGGCTGCACGGCCCCCGGGGGAGATGAGTTTGCTCCCATCTGGATGGCGCCGGGTCAGACCCAGCTCTCAGAGTGGCAGCTTCCCCAGAGCTCGTCTTGATGGTAACACCTTATCCTAGAGGATGGTCTTGACAATTAGAAAAAAACAACAACGAGTGCACATCGCAGAGGAGCAGATGCACCTGGGCCCCTTGGTGACCAGGCCCTGCCCTCACAGCAGTGACCAAGGCCCCATTGCAACACTGCTCTGTGTCTTGCTGCATGAGGATTTGGGAGACAGTCCTAAAAAGCCCAGAGTTAAAGAGAGAGAGAGAAAACTAGGGCCAGCACTGCGGTGTATAGGCTAAGCCTCCGCCTGCAGTACCAGCATCCCACATGGGCGGCAGTCGAGTGCTGGCTGCTCCTCTTCTGATCCAGCTCTCTGCTGTGGCCTGGGAAAGCAGTAGAAGATGGCCCAAGTCCTTGGGCTCCTGTGCCCACCTGGGAGACCTGGAGGAAGCTCCTGGCTCCTGGCTTCGGATCCGCACAGCTCCAGCCATTGCAGCCAATTGGGGAGTGAACCAGTGGATGGAAGACCTCTCTCTCTCTCTCTGCCTCTCCTTCTCTCTCTATGTAACTCTGACTTTCAAATAAATAAACAATTTTTAAAAATAGAAGGCAGGACTCCGGACACCTCTGCCCTTCACGGTCGGCCCCTCCGTCCCCCTGGGAGCGAGCCCACCCAAGGTCTCAGGCGGGTGGACGGTGACCCACTGGCCCCAGCGCAGTCACAGCTGTTGGCCTAGCTGCTGTCACTCATTTCCGGCCTGGCTGTCGTCTGGTCAGCTGTGTGTGCCTGGCCAGAAAAATGAAGCAGCCAATCCCATTCTCTCTTTCCTTTTGGAAGCTGATCCAAGCGTTCCGGAGGGAAGCGGGTACAGAGCCGGAAGGCCCGGGCCTCGGCGCCTGGGCCTGAAGAGGGGCGGAGTGGAGAACGTGCCCAGGAGCTACAAATGGCAGGAGTGGAGAATGTGCCCAGGAGCTACGAATGGCAGGAAGGAGGTGGCGATGAAAGGGAGGCGCTGAGGCCCCAACTCCTGTTCTGCCCGAGGCCTGTTTGCTCAGCCTCCCGTGGACTCCTGAGAGACGTCTCTCCAGCCCCAGGAAAGCCGCGCTGGGCTGGGGCCGTCTGTGCTTCCAGGAGTCTTAGAGCCCTCACTACAAACGGCTGCTTCGCTTTTATCTCTGCCCAGTCTGGGGGGCTCGCGGGGAAGAGAAAGGATTCCGGGGCTGGAATGCAGCGTGAGATGTGCGGCGGGTTTGATGCCTGGCCTCGCGGGAGGCCCCAGGGGGGCGCAGGTGAGCGAGGCTGGTCCCGGAGAACTGCCAGGGCGTCCCCACGGTGCCGTGCCTCCCCCACAGCCTGTGTCATCCCAAGGGAGGCAGCTCTGGCAGGGGCAGCCTGACTCTCTGAGGGCGGCACGTGGCGGGCCTGGGTGACGGCTCTGTGGAAAGCCCACGCCCATCTCCGGAACAGAGAGGCTGTGCTTCCAGGGAATCCCGCAGGCCTTCTAGCCCCGCCTGACCCTCTTCCTGCCACCCAGAGCTCGCCGGTGCCCCAGGGCCCTCTGTGCACCCAGAGCAACAAGCTTCCCTTTGCCCAACTTCACCGGCAGGCCAAGAGTCGGCACGGCCCACTCCCACCTCCCTCCTCTGCCCAGCACTCACAAAAGCGACCGAGGTGGGCGTTCGCCCTGGGGCCTGCAGGCAAACTGACACTTGCTTCCCTATGTAAGGTTCATCAATATTTCTGATCCACTCTGCCCACGCCCAATTCCCCCTCCACCTCACGCCACAAAATTAACTCTCGCATCTACCATCCCCTGTTTAGACCAGGCTGTGATGGACAGCTCTGGACTGAGACCACAGCACACTTCTGCTCTTTGGCAAAGCGGAGGCACAAATAGGCCCAGCCCTGCTCTACTTCTGTCCCACGCTGTTCTCCTCCTGACAGACAACCCCTCTGAGGGGACCCTGGATTGGCTCCATGGCACCGGCAGGAGCAGAGGGAGGCAGGGAGGCAGAGCCCTGTGCCATTGTCTTCGTTTGGGATGCCTTAGCTGAAACGGGAGAGGCACTAGGGCCCGTAAGTCAAGGGTGAAGGTTAGGCTTCTGCAGGGGACCCGGTGCAGGCAGACCACCTTCCTGCATCCCGTGGGCACTGTCCGGGTTTGTGATCTCCATCTACCAGAATACAGGCCCATCATCACTCTGACAAGCGTCTCCCTTCCGTATCGGGCAGTCAGATCCCCCCAGATCTGCATCCCCAACAGCTGGGACAGTGGCAGGAGCTCAGAGGGACTCAGAGGATGTTGGAGAAAGAGCCCAGCCACGCCATGGTCATCTGCCGTGCCCTCTTGCCCTTCGCCCGGCCTTTCCCACCCCACCCAGCCCTGCAAACCCGAGGCCTTACCTCCCATGAGGAAGAGGAGCCCCGCGACATACTGCATAAGGCCTCTGTCCCAGCAGCAGCCCAGCACGCCGATGATCCAGCCGAACAGGATGATGGCCACCGCCATGCCCATGAAGCCGGCCGTCATTCTGCGCAGGTCTGTGGGGAACCAGACAGGCAGCAGTCAGCACCGGGGCCTGGGCCTCAGGGCTGAGGGGGCTACGGGGGCAGGGAGCGGCTCTCCCATCTCAGGCAGGCTTGCACAACGAGCGAGGGTCCTGTGCAGAGAGAGACCCCCGTGGAGGCTGCCCTGTGTGCACACACTCGCCAGCACAGCCTGGCTCCCGCCCCAGGAGAGGGCGCTGGGGTGCAGCTGTCATCTCTTCACGTTCCTGAGTGCCAGGCAGGGTGAGGTCCCCCAGTGCCCCTAACACAACCTCCTCCCTGCTTGCAAATGGAGCTGCTTGCTCAAGGGCAATAGAAGGGGGAGAGTGGGGAACTGAACCCGGTTCCTAACCAGTGCACCTGCCACGAACACCCTCCCCTGTGTGTGGGAGATGGCTGCCGGCTTGGGGGGAGGAGGCCTTGGTGCTCTGTGCCCCCCAGCGAGTGGGTTTTCCTGCCTGTGAGGCTGCAGGGTGAGGAGCCACCCTTCCTGCTCCCAGGTGAGCCCCTGGAGCAGACCCCTGAGTGCCTCCACACCAGCCCTTCCCTGACGGCAAAGCCGGGTGGTTCGGGGGGAGAGGCCTGTCTAGAAAGGCAGCATTTTCAGCAGAAGGGAGAGGCAGAGCTGCTGCCTCGTCTCAGCCGCCACTCAGCACCCTGCTGGGCTCGGCTTCCTCCCCTGCGCCCACCCCTGTCCTTGGAGCCCAGAAGCCGCCAGAGCTGCTCCCCCTCATACCCCCCCATCTCCTCTGGGATCACTTCCCATGCTGCACTCCTTCCCTGCATCATGGCCTTCCTCCCTCCCCAGGCCACGCTGTCCACGCCTTCCACCCTGCCCAGCACCCACGGGCAGCTCCCGGGCCCCTCTCCACCCACCTACAGCAGAACCTGTGCACCAGCCCAAACAGCACCCAGTACCCCCGCACCGAGCACCCAGGAGCAAAGAATGAGCCTGGCCTCTCCGCAGGGTGTGTGTTCCCCTGGGGTAGTGCCGGCCAGCCTAGAGGACCCCACGGCATTCTCTCTGAAGGGAGGGGTGGAGGGGACGCCATGTGGACACCCCAGGCGAGCACAGCAGCCGCGGCTCAGTCTCTTCTCACCCCTGAGAAATGGATGCCCCCCGGTTTCTCCGTGCATCACCTCCCCAGCGTCTGCACGACTGGTGGGCCCTTGGCTCCTCTCTCGCTCTGGCCACGCCTAATGGGAACCATGCAAAAGCATCCTAGGCACCGTCTGGCTTGCAACCCATGGCAGGATCTGGTGCTTTACCCTTATCCCCACATTGCAGCTCAGTGAGACAGCCCGCCCCTGCGCGGCTGGGGAGCAGGCAGGGCGGGGGGCAGGGCACAGGAGGAGCACCCGGCTGGGGAGCAGACAGGGCACAGGGGGAGCACCCGGCTGGGGAGCAGGCAGGGCACAGGGGAGCACCCGGCTGGCTGGGGAGCAGGCAGGGTGGGGGGCACAGGGGGAGCACCTGGCTGGGGAGCAGGCAGGGCGGGCACAGGGGAGCACCCGGCTGGGGAGCATCTCCGTAACATGTTGTTTGTGAGACCATCAGAATAAAAAATAGGAGACAAGAAAAAGAATTAAAAAAAAAAATTCAAAAAACAGTAAAATAATTTTAATATATCTTCCCCACCTC